ATCAAATATCTTTCCTTAAAATTTATATACCTCCTTTCACATCTTTCATATTTTCTAAACTTATTAGTTCTTGATGGTAAATCTATCATGCTGTTCCTCTTATTCATTTTATAAATAAAGTAGAAGCAAAAAATTACAGACCCATAACATTATATATTGCTTTTAAAATATATCTTATTTATTATTTTTATTTTTTGTGTATGAGCATACTGCTACATGTATGTAAGAGCACCTGTGTTGTGCAATGCCCATGGAGGTCAGAAGAGGACATCGAATTCCCTTGGAATGGAGTTACAAGTGGTTGTTGGCCGCCATGTGGGTGCTTGGAATTGAACTCGGGTCCTCTGCAAGAGCAACCTTAACTGCTGATCTCTCCAGCCCCATATATTATTATTTTATATATCAGTCATAAGTCAAAGCAGTTCAAAATTATTAGGTATTACACGTCATAGATAAAAGTACTGGGTATAATAGGGCTTTATATATTGTAAGTAGACAAAAAAAAAAAAAAAAAAAAAAAAAAAAAAAGAAGAAATTTCCCTGAGGAGCCAGGAAAAGCAAAATTCATTTGGATGTCTAAAATAGGAGGAAAAAACTATTGCTAAATGATCTAATTTAACTGCTTAGAAGACAAATTCACAACAACAAAAAATAGACAAATCCACTCTTCCACTGTTAATTCTTTAAAGATGAAAGGGAAACTGGCCTGATGTCAGCCTTCCAACACGGCTGAACTGAATCACGAAGCAGAAAGGGCTGGGTTTGCTACTGGTCTAAGTGAAATCAGCCAACAGGATACTCTGATCTTCCACTTGTTTGGGAGAATCATCTTTAAGCAGCATAGGCCCAGCATGTTCCCCCTGAGCTAAGGACAGAGCAGATTATTCTGCTGGCATCGTGATGCTGACAAACTGGTAGTATTGTACATTTAAAACGTTATTTTAATGTTGGGCTGGGAACCTGGTTCAGTGGGTAAAGTGCTTGTCACATAAGCCCGAGAACCCGAGTTCAGATCCCCAGGATCTGTGTAAAGCTGGGAGCAGTGCTGCCTGTCTGTAACGGCAGGAGGTAGAGACAGGAGCCTCCCCGGGTTCTCAGGGACAGCTAGCCAGTCATGTGTAGTGGCAGAAGAAGAGACTCTGCCCCAAAGCAGAAGGTGAGGACTGACACCCAGGCCTGTCCTCTGACTACCACCTTGAACTGCACCTGCCCATACTCAACACACACACAGACACAGAGACAGAAACACACATGCACACACACAGACACAACACAGAGACAGAAACAGACACACACACACAGAGACACAGACGGACACACACACAGACACAGAGACAGACAGAGACAGAAACACACACGCACACACACAGACACAACACAGAGACAGAAACAGACACACACACACAGAGACACAGACACAGAGACACAGACGGACACATACACAGACAAAGAGACAGAAACACACACGCACACACACAGACACAACACAGAGACAGAAACAGACACACACACACAGAGACAGATACAGAGACAGAGGCAGACTCAGAGACAGAGACAGACACACACACACACACGGACACAGGCAAAGACACACACACATACACACAGAGACACAGAGACAGACACACACACAGACACAGAGACACACACATACATGGACACAGACATAGACACACACACATACACACAGATACAGACAGAGAGACAGACACACACACAGACACACAGAGACACAGACACAGAGACAGAGAGAGACAGACACAGACACAGATACACACAGACAGACACACAGACACAGACAGACAGACAGACACACACACAGACACAGAGATAAGAACAACCATCATATTTTTATACTGACGTCTTTCCTCATTCATGACTGTGAAGCACTACATATATATATAGAAAGCAATCTGACAGCTGAGGGCTGGGAGCACTCATAAAAGAATGTGAAGCTGAAGGTGGGGTTAACCTGCACTGGAGGCTGAGGCAGGAAGATTATGAGTTAGAGGCCAGCCTGAGCAAGTCCCAGCCTCCAAAATCTACTTAAAGATGTAAACACATGTACATGAGCTTTAGCACTGGGGACGTAGCGAAGAACCAACAGCTCCCGTTTCTCGGTGGCTTTGTCGCCCTTCTCCTTTGTCAACAATTGTGATGATTAACAGGACATGTGATATTCCACATGAAATCCACCATTTCGGCAGCCAGGAGCACTCACCCTTACCTATCCCCATACTCACATGGAGAGTGTGAATTAAAGGGAACATCACATGGCTGAAACCCAAAGTGCTTGTTTCATGAAGCCCAGGTCAAGAGGTGTGGAAGTCGTTTGCTTCTCAGAGAGGAAATATAAACCCCCAACACGAATGTCACTTCCCAGAGAAAAGACTAAATACGATAATCCATACTTTCCCTAGAATCCTAAAAGTAGGGCCTGGAGAGATGGCTCAGTACTTAAGAGCACTGGCTGTTCTTCCAGAGGACCTGGGTTTAGTTCCCAGCACCCACATGGTGACTAACAATTACAGAACTCCAGTTCCAGGGGACTTGACACCTTCTGGCCTTTGCCAGCAATGCAGTACACGGGTGCACTTACATACATGCAGGCAAACATGCACATAAAATAAAAACAAGTAAAAATGTTTAAAAAGAAATTCTAAAAATAATCAAATTTGTCGTAAAGGTCCGGCCCTGCATTTTTAGAAAAGCTGAGGCCTGAGCAGCAGTGTTGGGTGTTTTCAGAAAGATCTTCCCGTCCCTCCTCTACTCACCAGGAAACTGTAGAAGAACTCGTGGACAAAGAGACCCAGCATGCAAACCAGGACGTACGCCACGTGGTAGAGGAAAGCCATGTCCAGGATGACCGCTCGGTACCCTCGCGTGAACGTGCCACGGTTTCCCACAAAACTCACCAGGAATACAATCTTATTACAAAGCTAAAGGGGGGAGGAAAATGAGATTTTACTGCCTCAAGCTCACATACAGAAAAGACACTGCCGAAACCACTGTTCAGAGCTGCGCTTTGCCTTTCGAGGTTTCTGTGTTGTTTGGTAGGTGGTTTGCATACAGGCATGTAAGCAAACACATGCAAAACCTGTTCCCTTGGTAGTTCCCAGGGACAGAAGAATGATCAGGACAAGGGGCTCTGCCATAAGACAGATGCCTGGAAGTCCAGGCTCTTGCTGACTCGTAAATAACCCGGTTCATGTGACGGGAGGCACCTGCCTAGTGTGTGTCAGGCCCTGGGTTCAAACCCCACAACAGAAAAGAAAATCTTTGACTTATATTTATGGTGTTTTCCTCTACTATAAAGAATCTAAACAACACAAATAAGTTGTTTTTAAACTTGCTATATAGAATCCATATTATGAGGTAGGAATGTTTAAAAGTGAGTATTATAGTTGTTGAAGTTTACAAAAATTTTAATGACATGAACCACAGTAAAAAGTTTTCTTTCCAGTGTTAGGGATTGAACCCAGGTCCTCACGCATGCTAGGCAAGTGCTCTACATCCCACACCACATGATACAGAAACAGAAATGGAATGATCTGGAAGGACTGGATGACATACATGGATGTGGCAGCTACAGCCCTCAAGAGAAGGGTGTTTTTAGTTCTTTACAAAATCCTCGTCTGATAGATTTCCTTAGAGTTGCAGTACATGTCCCTTTACTGACAGTAATTATTTTCTTGAATGAGCTGGTTAACTTGGAGGTGTCAGACACATAAAGCCCTAATGCTTGAAGAATGTAATAAAATCAACATCTGAAGCACTGAGACACAGAACTGATCACATTATCTCAACTTTATAATCATTGACTAATTTGTTCATTTTCAGTAAATATTTGCCACTCACCAATTAGTTGATATATTCAAGAAAAATTAATAGACTTCCTACATATCCCAGAGTAATTATCAATTACTATATACAGTGGTATGAGTTAATTTCTACCTGCAGGCACCAGCACACGGGACACTGAGTTAGGAACTCAGTGAAAGTTACAGAGTGCTTTAGGTATTCATTGGGTTAATGTGTTGACAATATTTATGTGATTTCTGCCCATTTTATATTTCACAAACTTAATGGTTTATCCTTTCTTTGTATCTATTTATAGTTACACTTTGCACAAAGCAGACATAAAGTTCCCTCAAAGTTTTCTGTTAAAATTTTTTTTTGAATTTTTGTGTATTTCATACAGAACATCTCAATCTAATCATCTCTATACCCCCGTCCCCACTGGCACCTCCCATAGCCCCCCCCCCACTGGAATTCACACATTCTGTCATTTGTGTTAAGACCTGTGTCAAGTTAATGTCCCCAGACATTCCTCAGGGCAAGTTCATCCACTGAGGTCTAGTCAGCTTATCTAGAGTCCCTCCTTTAGGAAGATCAGCTCTTCCTCACCTAGCAGTGAGCAATTTATCTCTATTAAAATCGTTTCCACCCATGTCTGACTTGCTGTGCTGTGGAACCCTGCCTTCTTATTCTATACTCACCCAACGAAAATGTCTGAAGGCATTCCCTCATTCTAATATCCCAAAATTTGGTGAAAAAAATCAATCACATTCCTGTCTTTTGTAAGTTTATAGAACCTTCTCACATAAAAGGAACCCAATTTCATTTTTTTTTTAAATATAGCAACCTTTGCCATCCCTTAAATCACTTGACAAAGGATACTTCTTAAATTCTACTGAATATAATTTAGTCTTTCTAGGATGATTTAGAAGCCAATTTTGGGTGTTGGCTTGGCTGGGTCATTTTTGTCAGCAGTGGCAGGGATGGCACAGAGGCATTCAAACTGGATTTGATGAAATGGAGGCAGAACAGGTCACACGGCAAATGCTACTTGCTTAATATATCAACATGTTACACATCGTTTTTTCGTTCTCTTTAAATGAAAGAACACACACGATATTCCTCTGAATTTAGATTCACAATAAATTAGAATTCACTGTGCACACATGAATCGAAGCCCAGGGTCACACTCTGTTTAGCACATTTAAATTTCATAATGATACAACGCTAAGCAACACACTTACGTTAGCAGCACCAAGCAGTATCAGCGTGGGCCCCAGACCGATGGTGTATATTGATCGTAGCATGACAGAAACAAGGAAGGGCCGGATTCCCACAGGCTTGGAGAGGAAGAACAGCATGGATGTGCAGATCGCAACCGCGATCCAAAGGAGGGCGGAGAACAGCGGGGAGAGCGTGCCTGGAAGATCCAAAGGAGGTGTGCTTCACCAAGAGCAAACCGGAGAAGGCTAAAATATTTGCTTTTGTGCTTTCAGTATAGGTAAGTCGAGCATGGTGTGCCGAATCTCAAGACAACCCCTTTGACACACTATACCTCGAGGGAAAGTTCCAGAACACACTACTCCTTGTTATATTTCCAGTAAGTTCGTGAATTGATTTCAGGCTACTCAAGTGCTTACTAGTTAACACTCTCTCCATTAAGTCTGAGAACTTCATTTCCCCCCCCCCATGGTAGTGATTTGTGAAACGCTTTCACAGACGTACCTCACGTGGGCATCTCAAGTCAAAGCTGATGATTAATGATCCTTGTAGGTCTAGCTAAATCATGGGAAATCAGGTACCATTTAATTGAATTCATCACTGACCATTAGTGTCAAGTTGTCACATTAAAGATTCTTCTAAAGAATCCAGTTTGGGCCAGTGAGATATCTCAGTAGGGAAAGGTGCTTGCCATCAAGCCTGATGAATTCTCTCAGGGAGAGAATTCACTCCTGCAGGCTGTCCTCTGACCTATACTCACACATACATGTATGCATGCATACGTGAACAGGCAGGCACACACACACACACACACAAAGTAAAAAATACATAAATGTTTAGAAAAACCTTAAAAAATAATCCAATTTGTAGAACACTTAGCTTTTATAAAATAGAGACAAGAATTAACTGTCAAAACACATATGCACATGTCTACATATGGATATATGTATGAGTGTCTGTACTTGAATACCAACTCATTTTCCAAAAAAAGTTAAGCTACTCAATCACCAGAAAATAAAAACTTCAGGGAGTTTATTTAGGAGTACATAGCCTAGCCAGTCAAGTGTTTACACGACACGAGAACCTGAATTTGACGGCCAGGACACAAATAAAAGACTGAGTAAGGTGGCATGTGTCTGTAATCCCAGTACCGGAGTTACACGCGTGCTGCCACACCTGCCTTTCTACATGGGTGCTGGGCTGCTGGGGATCCAAAGTCAGGTCCTCAAGCTTATATGGAAGCACTTTACTGAGTCATTTCCCCAGCCTCCAGCTTTGATTTACAAAAAGACTCATTCTGTTTGTTTATTCATTCAGTTTTGTGTTTGTTTGTTTGTTTGTTGTGTATATATGTAGGTGCCCACAGAGGCCAGAGGGGTGTTGGATCTCTTGGAGCTGGAGTTACAGGAACGTGTGAGCCTCTCAACATGGGTACTGGGATCTGAACTCCCATAGAACAGTAAGTACTCTTAACTGTTGAGCTCCCTCCCAGCCCCAGCTTTGGTGTTAAGAATACATTAAAATTGGCAACATCTTCAAGGCACATTTAACAATGCTCTGCCCAAAATGTGACTCTTTCAGCTAATTCATAAGTAAAGTCTTGGTGTGACATTCTACAAGCCCAAGGTTTGGCACAGATGATCATTCTGTGCATTATCATTGGTGAGTGATCTGCTAATCATATCTTTACTCTTCCCCAGATGGTATGTGGGTGGCTGGCATCTCCCCTGGATGCACAAGAAAGTGCAGCCATGCATTTGATTACTTTGTACAAGAAACTCAGAACATCTAGCATAGGACCTTGCACATAGCTTAATGCTATTTGTGTGGAATGAACCCATTGGCCTAACAGTTCTTTAACAAGGTATTAATTGATGAAGTCTGTAGTTATTCTCTCTCTCTCTCTCTCTCTCTCTCTCTCTCTCTGAAAATGACCAGATTGGGTCCTATCTAAAGATTCATGTTTTAAAAAAGTAGAATCTCTCTGACATTCTAGAGACAGGTTCTAAGATTGCCAAAACCAATCCTAGCTGTTTATGGTGGCCCAAGTCTGTATACCCACCACGTGAGAAGCCAAGGCAGAAGAACTGCTATGAGTCCCAGGCCAGCCTGGGCTACGCAGTGAGTTTCTGGCCAGTCTGGGTTACTACATGAGATCCTGTATCACACACACCACACACACACACACACACACACACACACACACACCAATCCTTACCCATGAAGGGGGATTTTCTCTTCTTAATGTTTCATATATTTCTATTAATTTTCCATAATAAGCAAATGTTCTATTTCATGGAAAATGTTTTTAGGAAATGACCCTATACATTCTAAGCTCTTAGAGACAGGAAGTTGATCCTTCATCAAAAAGAAAAAAAAGAAAAAAGAAAAGAAAACTTCAGACAGCTGAATTGGAAGCTGCAGTCTGGCTCCCATTTTGGAACTCGGCTCCACCTCATGCTGATTTGTTTATGGCTTCCTGCACAGCACCCAGTGCTTCTGATGCCTCAGCCTCTCCCCCTGCGTCTGCCACCCACATGGTCTCATTAGACGCTCCTGTTTCCTCCACCTGAGTCCAGCCAAAGTCGACATCCATCCATAAATCCACTGCTGGCCTTTAGTCTTGTTTTTTGGTCTTCTAACTAGATCACGAGCTCCTTGGGGACAAGATAGCTTACTAATCTTAGCATCTTCAGCCAAGCATGGGGCCAGGCACACAGGGGGACCCATCAATACATGTTAAATTGACTGAACTGAAATCACCTTGAAGAATGTATTTTCCTTAACAAAAGCACTTGTGAGGAAAAAGAATTAAACCCAAAATGTGAAAAACGCTGTAAACTAAAATCATATGATGTCGGGATAAAAAATTCCCATGAAACAAATTCTCCGCACTGACTGGTCTGCCAGGACAGGGACAGTTGGCATGGCGGTCTCAAGGCCACAGACATCCTGGAGATGGCCCCAGCATCAACAGCTGACATGTCAGCCTGGCAGTGAATGGAAAGTCTCCATCAGCCACAGAAGGTGCAAGGTGCCCTCTCGGGTGTTTTTCTGAGTATCCCCCTCTAACATTGCCACTGGATCACCATCCCCCACCACTCTGACTGAAGGATGCTATTCTCTAGGTTAACATTGCAAACCAAGTTTAAACCAGGTATTTAGCACAAGAAACTTCCAGCAGCACAGGTAGTATCTGACCACCACCTACACACGGAGAACGCATGCCCAGCCCGTGCCCTCTGTCAGCCCCTCGATTCTCACTGCCTCTCTGTGACACTGGAGCAGCTTGTATTAGGGTCTGGGGTCAGAAAGGGTGGCCTGTGCTAATCAGAGATCTAGCATAGGCCCTTTGCCTAGATCCAAAGATCAACTCCCTGACCACACTGTGATGGTCTATATCAGGAACTTAACATCGGTGAGCCACTTGAATCTACTCTAAAGCTGTTTTCTGCTTTAGGGACACTTACCTGTCAGGTCTTTGCTCTCCCTCTTCATTTAAGCAGTTTCTGACTGTTGTCTTTCCTAAGCTTGGGAGCACTGGGGAGTACTGCTCAGTCATTTTACAGAAGGTCTCTCGTTTGGAGTTTTCTGAATTTTTCTTATTCATTTATGGCAGGCTCTATGATGTCCCCCTCAGAGCACGGTATCAGGAGGCGCTGGGTGCTGCGTCTCACTCAGGGTGACATTAGGACTGAGTATTTAAAGTAATTCTCCAGTTTGAAGAAACTGCTTTTCCTTCTGTAACTGGCTAAGTCTATTGTGGGGAGGTATCTCAAAACGTACCCAGTATCCCCAGATTCCAATATGCAATCACCCCTTCCCTCAACTCAGCAGACAAGAGGGTTCCTGCAACTCCGGTGTTTGCCAAATAGTGACACTCGGTTTCCGCTGTCCCATCTACATTTTCTTAACTGGATACAGTTATAAAGAAAAACTTTCTTCTCACTATTCATATAGGGTCTTAGATCACATTCTGTTCTGTGAACTATGATGTGTTACCAGAAATTGTCTTTCCCTCAAAGCTTTCTCAGGTTACTGAGGGACCCTCCTAGGAAGAACTTCTGACTTTACAGGTCCCCACAATTTTTAGGTATTATTAGAGGAACTTTAAGGTTCATGAAATCCATCTTTAGATAGCTTCAAAGTAATCCTGGAGAAAAGTCTCTCAGCCTGTTTGAAAAACTCCAGAATCAAAGAGCGTTGACCATCACGCAGTGCCTTCCTTCCCCAGGTAGAGCTGATGGCCGAGTGTAGTTACCGAGTGGCTAGCTATGCACGGTGTGTGACCGAGGCCTAGAGGCTGATCTAACCCTGACCAAAACTTTAACCTTATTCACAAAGTGGTCATGAAGTAACTCACCTCAGACTGTAATGATACGCCTCAGATGTATGACGGGGTTCCATGTTGCCCCCCAGTGCTCATGTTTTCCCTTCCCTCTAAAAATCACACCCACACTCAAAACACTGAGTCCCCACGCCAGCTACTACTGTTAATGCCTATTGAAGAATCTTTTTCAAGGGTGGGGATTGCATTTACAGCCAGCGACAGGATGCCATGCTCTCCGGTCTTGTATAGTCAGTCTTTTGGAGGCTGGAGACCTTCTCTAAACCCTGTTATATACGTGGCTTTAAGCACTTGATCAGGGGCCAGTCCTATCAGCAACACTCAGTGAGCTTATTAATAGTAGGTATCTCTATTCTCAACTCCAAATTATTCAGCAAATCTCAAACCTCAGCTGAAGCATCCACAGAATAAACTCACTTCATGGGTCTGTTAGGAAGATGAAGTTTTGTATGTAAAGAGCTAAATGTTTGCCCGACCCAATCTAAAAGCTGGCAATGTTATCCATACTGCAGTTACAACTGCTACCTGTCAGGCTGGGATTAAAAATGGACCCACTGTTCTCCTTCTGAAGGAGTGAGGAGCCACCATCCAGGACACTCTCTGGAATGGAGCACAGGGGGATGAGGTCATGGATGAAGCGGCATCTGTTGTCTATCTGCCTGCCTCCCATCCATCACCCACACAGAAAGGCCCGGGATTAGTCAGAAAGGCCAGCCTTGTCCCCTGCCATCCGCCACTTTCAGCCTCTCAGGGCTTCCATGCCTTCATCTGTCAAATGAAAGCTTTGTGCCAATGATTTCAAGAATCGCCTCCATCTCAGACTTCACGCTGGGACTCTACAGTCTGTCCTTCACGGTCTGTGTGTAGGTGACATGAATTCATCATTTCTCAATGGGCTTCTCCCATCGGGAGAGCTGCGTTCTTCTAGACCAAGAGATCGTCACCAAAGAAGACCAGACGCAGGGCAGAGAGAACTGTTGCCACCTCCACTGGCTTGATGGGTGGTGCATGTTTGTTACCTGCACACCCTCCACAGTTCACACATCTGCTCTGCTGCCAAACAAGCCCCTATTGCAGACGTGCTTTCCAATGCACACCAGCTCTACTTATGACCACTCAAACTGCAACTAAAGGGCTAACTTTGACCCCTATGTGACCTGACATAGAAATTAAGGAGCAGCAACTGCTCCCCTACTCCCATTTTCTCTCCTGCCTACTTCCGGTTCACCTGAAATTTGCTTAAATGTCCATTGCTCCCACTGGAACATGCTCCCTAGTCCTCCCTCCTATGTAGTGAGAATACTTACCACAACATCTAAACTTTATCAAGGTCATGACAATGTTCTAAGTGCATTGCCCACAGCACCCGTTCTAACAGCAGTCGGGCAAACAGATGGGATGCGAGAGTCCGAGGTTATTACTTGCTGATCTCTCTCACCCTTGCTTCCAGCCCGTTCTTCCCATGTCCCTCCGCAGTGAGCTACTCACCTGCTTGTATCCCACACCTGTAAAAGATTTTCCCACAGAATGTGCCCAACCTAAACAAAACTGACTTCCTAATGTACCACCCTTCAGGGTACTTCCCGTGGCCTCCGGTTTGTTAAAAATTCTCCTCTGCCTTTGCTAACCCTCACCAGTTATTAGCTTAATAAAACCACTTCATCTTCAAAGTCCTCTATCATCTATTATTAGAGTTTTATCTTATGCTGTGCATTTCTAAAACTGAGATTACAAATTCATGGTGCTATAGCATTTTTGCACGTACATTCGTTACAAAACCCTTAGACAAGACAGAAAGCAAAAAACGTAAAATGTAATTGTCACTATTTGATCACAATATTTGGACACGAGTCTTCCATTTAAAAAATTGAGATAATACAGTATGAAACCCTTCTGATCATACTAATTAGGCTGAAGAAACATAATCATGCCATTTCATTTCCAATATATATTTCTAATAGTTATGCTGTTCATAAGCTTCTGTGACATAACATTTCTACTGGCCAGTGTTCTGCCTCCTGTTTGTAATGTCCGCTTCCAATAAACACAGGAAAAGCTATCTAACAAGAACTCAGTTTTCTTGTTTTCAAGTGAGGCGTGTTCATTTTTATAATTTTCAGGTGTTCATCCTTTGAAGCGTGATAAGCACTTGCCTTCATCTCCATCATCTCCAAATGGGTAGAAGAGAGCCACAGCCAGGTTGATGAACACAGCCAGGTTGAAAGAGATGCTCCCCCAGAGAGAGATGTGCCTGGAGAACCAGAAGAGGGCGGGGTTGTCTAGGAAGCAACAAGAACAGCCAACAAAGGCTGGTGTCAACACATGAGCCCGACTGAACCAACGGCGTACGCAATACAAAAGTGTACTTAAGTGAGTGCTGGCTCTGACTGATCTAGAAGCTCATCACGAGGATTCCACACAGCAAAGGCATTTTCTATTGGATCCCTTTTCATTCCTTTGCTTGTTTATATGTATGTCACTGCAGAAAGGCAAAGAAATTCATAGTGGCTCAAGATTGTCAGAACAGGTGATTCAGTAATAACACTCTCTGATCTGGCCACAAAGTAGAGGAGGGGATGGCAGCTAGCCGCTCCTGGGCCCCTTTACTGGCATGGAGGCTGCAATGCCGTAGAACTTGGTGATACTGCTGGATGAACTGGTCCCACCCCTACGACGTAAAGTCAAATAAGAGCCCCTGACACAGATGTCCCTTTACAGAAAATGCCTTTGATACAGTCGGAGTCACCTGGAAATCTGAGTCACGATACTAGAGGACCACACTCTTTATGGGAACTAGAGGCATACAGCATTACCAAAGTCAGGCGTGGTGTCACATGCTAGCATTCGAGAGGATGAAGCAGAATTGTGAGTTTGAGAGCAGCCTGGGTTACATAGTGAATTGGAAGTCAACCGGGGCTATGTAGTGAAACTGTCTCAAAAAATATTGTAATGTTATTTATATTTAAAACACAATGCTTTCTAACAACTTGCTTGGTTGAAGCAGCAGAAGAAAATAAAGTCTGTAGAATTATCAATGAATGAGAGTCTTTGCTGAATATTTCCAGAAGAGGGAATGCATACCCATCAGACGTGAGTTAATAAGTGCATCTACCTTAACTGAACTGCAATTCTCTCTATGCTTCCTTAGTAACTGAGACAAATATGTACTGCACAGAGGCTCGGAGAGGAACTAATTTATTATCCAGCTCTGGGCATTTGGCAGCTCCTTTGGGACTCACCTGTTCTCTAACTTTTAATACCCTAACACCAGTATTAAAATGTTGGAGGTGAGGGGGATGGTGACATGTGTCTGTCACCCCAGTATTAGGGAGGTGAAGGCAGGAAGAGCAGCTGTTGAAGGCTAGCCTCAGCCACACAGTGAGTGTGAGGCCAGCATGAGCTACATGAGACCCTTTCTCAAACAGAGCAACATAAAATGTTAAAATTAGAGTTTGGAGGCTGGAGAGGTGGCTCAGCCATTACGAGCTCCCAGACTGGTTCCCATCACCCACATCAGGAGGCCCATAACTGCCTGTAACTCCAGCTCAAGGGACTCTGACGCCATCTCCTGGCCTCCGAGGGCACTACACTCAGGTACACAAACCCACATAGAGGCACACACATATACACATAATGTAAAAATTTAAAAGTCAATCTTAAAAAATAAAATATTCACCGGGTGTGGTGACGCACGCCTTTAAACCCAGCACTCGGGAGGCAGTGGCAGGTGGAGCTCTGTGAGCTCAAGGCCAGCCCGGTCTACATAGTGAGTTGTTGGACAGCTGGGGCTAAAGGGAGACCCTGTCTCAAAAAGACCAAAAAATAATAAATAAATAAATAAATAAATAAATAAATAAATAAATAAATAAAATATTAGAGTCCATGGGATGAGGTGTGTAGATCTCCAGAGGGAAAAATCATATTTTGTTGGGCCGTCCCTGACCCCACCCTGGAGCTGCTGTAGACTAGACCCCTGCACCTCCTCTGAGTCCACCTCGCTTCTGTTGTTTTGGAAGTGAAGGGGATGGTGACATGTGTCTGTACCCCAGCATTAGGGAGGTGAAGGCATCCCACACCAGAGGAGGCTGTGATGAGCCCTGGCCTCTCACTGAGCAATGAATCATAAATTATAAACATCTCCACCCCCATCATTCCTGAATGAGAAGTCTTCTCTTCTTTTTAAAAGCAGAATATTAAGACGACTCTCAGAAAAACACCAAAAAGCACTTGAGAGGTGGAGGATCGGGAGCTCAAAGTTATTTGTGGCTGGATGGGGAATCTGATGCTCGGATGCGCTGTGAGACCCTGTCTGCAGATAAGGGAGGGGGTCTAAACATGATTAAAATATATTGTATGAAATTTGCAACAATTCTATTAAAAATTTAATAAAAAAGAAAGAACGTGAAGGGAAGGAAACCTGAGGAGGGGAGGGGAGGGAGAAGGGGGAGGAGAGGGG